ATGAAGAGCGAGAAGAAGTTCTTTGTCGACCAGCTGAACATGTTGGTGAAAAGGATCTCCCAGGAAGGTGGGTCCGCTCTGACTGACCAGTTTGGGGGGAGCTGTGTTTAAGGGAGGAGATGGGGTACAACACTCCTCCCCAGCTCCCTCCCCAGTGTCATGCCTGATTCTCTGCCCACTCAGCGGTGGAAGGGAAGGACATGTCGGGGAGCAACGGGGACCTGCTGCTGCGGCTGCACTCCCAGTACCCGGGAGACATCGGCTGCTTCACCATTTATTTCCTCAACCTGGTGAGGCTGGAGCCAGGGGAGGCCATGTTCCTTGGAGCCAACGAGCCCCACGCCTATCTGCACGGAGGTGAGTGTAGCGGTGGGCTTTCATGACCCACCACCCCACAAGGACTGTCCTCCAGGGTGGTCCCCTGCATGAGGTTGATTCCCACCCTGGGGATGTGCGGGAGCACTGGGGCCGGCTGCAAGCACTTTCCTCTCCCCGCAGACTGCGTGGAGTGCATGGCGTGCTCAGATAACACGGTGCGCGCTGGGCTCACCTCCAAATTCATCGACGTCCTCACGTTGTGCGAGATGCTCAACTACACACCAGCGCCCAGCAGCTCTAAGATCTTCCCAGCTACACAGAGCCAGCTCGACCCCAGCATCTACCTCTATGACCCCCCCGTGCCAGACTTTGCTGTCATGAGGATAGAGGTGAGCAGCAACGGGGTCCGCTTTGGGGACGTGGCAGGTAGCAAAGGCTGTAACAGGGTAGGAGTGGGGATGGTGCCCTCCCAGCAAGGAAAGCTGGGGGAGACTCAAGCTGTGGTGACGCTTTCCCTTGCAGATCCCTGCCTCCATCAAGCTGTACCTTGTCTCCGCCGTGGACTCTGCCAGCATCTTGCTGGTGATCCAAGGGACAGCTGTGGGCACCTCCACAGCCGCAGCCTCTGAAATGACTCTGCGTCGTGGCTCCGTGCTCTTCATCTCCGCTAATGAGAGCATCTCCCTCCACCTCTCCTCGCCAGATGGGATGCTGCTCTTCC